TCAGATGATAGATGGATGTTTGTGGCACTTGGAGTATCAATAGGCTTAGCTGAAGACATGCCAAACCTTGACAGAATCTTCTCAATGTAGCTTTTCTGTGATAAGAAAAGCTTCTTCTGATCTCTTTCCCTGTATATCTCCATGCCCAGAATTTTCTTCGCAGCACCCAAATCCTTCATATCAAACTCAGCATTTAGATGGCCCTTCAACTTCTGAATCTCTAACTTCGACTTCGCAGCTATGAGCATATCATCCACATACAGAACAAGATAGATCATAGAGCCATCATTAGCTTTGTTGTGATACACACAACAATCATATGGACTCGTGCTGAATCCTAGCTGGATCATGTAAGTATCAAATCTCTTATACCACTGCCTTGGAGACTGCTTTAGTCCATATAAAGACTTCTTCAGCTTGCAAACATAATTCTCCTTGCCTGGAACCACGAATCCCTCTGGCTGAGTCATGTAGATATCATCCTCAAGCAATCCATGTAGAAAAGCTGTCTTCACATCTAGTTGCTCAAGTTCCAGATCTTGATGTGCAACCATCGCAAGTAACACCCTGATGGAAGTATGTCTGACTACTGGTGAGAAAATCTCATTATAGTCAACCCCCTCCTTTTGTGTGAACCCTCTTGCCACTAGCCGTGCTTTGTATCTGACACCCTCATCAGGGATGGTTCCTTCCTTCTTTTTGAAAATCCATTTGCAAGTAACAATCTTCCTCTCCTTAGGCCGTGTGACCAGCTCCCAAGTCTGATTCTTGGATAATGACTCCATCTCTTCTCCCATTGCAGCGAGCCATTTAGCGCACTTGTTGCCCGAAACAGCTTCTTTGTATGTAGATGGTTCGTCCATCGATGGCTCATCTTCCACCTCATCGGCGACCTGTAGTGCATATGTCACCATGTCCTCAAACCCGTACCTCACCGGAGGCTTCACACCTGTCCTCCTAGCTCTATCAATGGCGATGCTTCTTTGACGAGCTTCTGGATGAACATCAGAAATAGTAGTTTCTGGAGTAGTGTGTTGATCTTCTCCACCTTGGGGTTGTAATTCACTCTCATCTGGAGTGACTTGCAGCTCCACCTGTTTATCAACACTAGAATTTTCTGCACCAATGGACTTCACAACAAAATTAAGCATAGAATTTTCATCAAACACCACATTCCGACTAAGGATAACTCTATTTTCTGAAGGTGACCAAATTCTATACCCCTTGACTCCATCTCCATAACCAACAAATACGCCCTTCTTTGCTCTTGGTTCTAGTTTACCCTCACTCACGTGATAATAAATTGTACAACCAAAAGTTCTCAATGTAGAGTAATCTGCAGGTAATTGAGACCATACCTCGAAAGGTGTTTTGCAGTCAATACCAGTGTGAGGTCCACGGTTAATCAGATAACACGCTGTGTTTACTGCTTCTGCCCAAAACTTCCTAGTCAAACCATCATGAAAGAGCATGCATCTTGCTCTTTCCAGTAGTGTTTGATTCATGCGTTCTGCCACACCATTCTGCTGTGGTGTATCTCTAATGGTGCGGTGTCGAACAATCCCTTCGTTCTTACAGAATTCATTGAACTCAGACGAACAGAATTCAAGACCATTATCAGTTCTCAATCGCTTGATCTTCTTCCCTGTCTGATTATCTATCAAGCCCTTCCACTATTTGAACCTCTTGAATGCTTCACTTTTATGCTTCATTATGATTACCCAAGTCATTCTCGAGTAGTCATCAATTATCGACATAAAGAACCTGTGACCTCCAATAGATTCAACACGTGCAGGACCCCAGCAATCCATATGAAGGTAGTCAAGAGTCCCCTTTGTCCGATGTACACCCTTCTTTGAAAACTTGCTGTGGTGAAGCTTTCCAAATACACAATGCTCGCAGAATTCAAGATTCTGCACCTTATGCCCAGAAAGAAGATCACGCTTTGACAGAATTTGCATCCCTCGTTCTCCCATATGACCAAGCCTCATATGCCATAGCTTTGTCATATCTTTTGTTGGAACTTCTGATGATGCAATATCAGCAGAGCCTGTCACGATGGTACCTTTCAGCATGTACAAAGTACCACATTTCAGACCCGTCAGAACCACCTTTGAACCTTTCAGAATATGCATTACTCCACCTTCACCTCTGAAATTGAAACCCTTGTTGTCAAGTGTACTCAGCGATATCAAGTTCTTCGTCATTTGTGGAACATGCCTGAGATCGTTCAAAGTGCAGAATATCCCATCATGCGTCCTTATTTTGATTGAGCCGATCCCTACCACCTTGCAAATAGCGCTGTTGGCCATGGAAACGTTGCCACCATCTACCTGCTCGTAAG